ATCTTTCTTTCTTTTCTGAGTCACGGTCTTACTATGTAGTTCAGGCTGGCCTCAAACTCTCAGTGATCCACCTGCCTCAAACTCCCAAGTACCAGGACTATAGGTGTGCCACTGTGCCCAGCTCCATTATCATTATTATTTTAGAGACTCTTTGGGGGGGGGTTGTTTGTTTTGGTTTGGTTTGGTTTTTTGGTGGTATTAGGGATCAAACTCAGGCCCTTGCACTTGCCTGGCAGGCACTTATTCCACTGAGCTATCTCACCAGCCCTATCATTATTATTTTAAAGCCTCCTAATTCAGAACAAGAGCAGCAGGGTCTGTGGTCACTCCCCACTTAAACTGACCAGAATTCTTTTGTTCTTTCCATTCTCCCCTTTTAGTCAGACTCTGGGCACAATCCAGATTAGCAGCTCAGGGGTGTTCAACTTGAGAGCAAATCATCTTTGCTGGCTTGCAGAGGAATGAGAATAACTGCAGTGAAAAGCAGAGGATTAAGAAGAAAAAAGAAAGCCCACCTTAAGTCCTTGTATCCTCTGAGGCCCAAACTATACTTCCTACTTTTTGAGTATGTTTAAGTACTCCCATAATTTATAATGGCCTCTCTTAAGGTAGACTGAGAGGGCTTTTCTCATCAGGTAATTTTTTTTTTTTTTTTGAGTGAGATTCTTTTTAAATTTTTTTTCCTCTCATTTGATAGTCTTAAATAATGCTAAAATTAAGCACTCACAATACATTAGACACCCTAGTAGGTGTGTTGGTCATATTTAATGCTCAAGAAGATTATCCTCATTTTAGACATAAGGTCCTAGAGAGATTCTCACACTCAAGGTAGAGGCAGAATTTCCAAGGCAGCTTGACTCCAGGACTCTACTCCACTGCGGTGGTTGTCACTTTGGTCCAGTTGATACATGGTCTATAGCAGGGAAGTAAACCTGCGCTTCCATGAGGATAATCTCGATCAACACAAAAGATTTCCTAGTGGCCTAACCTCAGGCATCAGAAGCTAAGTAAGAGCTGGGTTCCATGGTGTAATGTGGAGAAGCTAAGTAAGTGATGGAACTATGTCAAGGCTTGTTTGGGGGATGGGACCTTGGTGAGCCCTTCCAACTTTGGAAGAGTTAAGGCTGATCCTACTCACCTGAAATCAATCACTTCATTTGAAGAAAGGCTAAAATTCAACACACTGTGTTATGGTTTAGATCTAAAATGGCCCCAAAGTCTCATGGTGTGAAAGGTGGTTGAGTCATGAGGGTGCTAAGCACATGGTGCCTGTAGGAGGTGAGATCTGCTTGGTGGTGGTGTGACCCCCAGGGGTGTGCTCTTGTCCCTGGCTCCTCCCTTTTCTCACAGGTTCCTGTTTGCTACCTGGGGAGCGGCTTTCTTTGCCATGTGGTTCTGCAGTACCACCTTTGCTTTGGAACTGGCTGGACGTGGCTCTCTGAAAACACTAAGAGCCAAAATAAACTTTCTTCAAGTTACAGGTGTCAGGTATTTTTGTCACAGCCACAGGAAAGTAACAAATACATTTTATCAGGTTAAGGCTGGGTGTGATGGTTCACACCTGTCATCTCAGCTCTCTCCAAGTCTCAATTATTTATTTCTTTGGAAATTTTTTATGGTTCTGAGGGCTGAAACTAAGGTCTTTATGTTGAGCCATATCCCCAGTCTATCTGTCCTCCCTTCCTTCCTCCTTCCTTCTTTTTCTCCTTCCTCCTTCCTTCCTTTGATCCTCTCATTTTTTCCTTTTTCTTTTCTTGTTTTTCCTTTCTAATCTTGAGATAGCCCCACCAAGTTCCCCCAACCTGAACTTAAACTTGTGATCCTTCTGCCTCAGCCTCCCAAAGAGCTGGGATTATAGGGCGCACCACCGGCCCAGCTACAGCCTTATTTCTTAGTGTTTTCCTTCCATTTTGGCACCTTACAATAACATAGAGAACTGTTCAACTCCCTCATTAATTCTCCAAAGAACTCATTAGATTGGTATTATAATAGCATTTGGATGAATCACAGACGTTGCCTAGTCCTACTGACACTAGGCTTTGTCCTGGCACAACCATGTGACTCTCCAGCCTCCTGATGTCCACCCAGTTTCTCACAACAGCCCTGCCCCCCTCCATGCCAGCTCTTCATCCCAATTTAGCAGCCAACACTGAGCACCTGTCTTCCTAGGTCCACAGATTCTAGAGAGTGATAGAGGAGAGAGCATTCCTTTAGAAGACCCAGGACAGGATACATTTTTTCTTCTGTGAACAAATTTGAATCAGCCACCTTTTAGACATTGTTCCTCTGTTACACAAAAAATAAAATATGGGACTTGCAAACAGTATCTTGGCCAGTGAGACAGCTCAGTGGACTAAGCACCTGCTTTGACAAGTGCAGGGACCAAGGTTCGATCCCTGGTCCTGCATACCTGCAGCAGCTCTGCTCCTGGGGCGCAGCACACTGAGCTGGTGACCAAGTCCAGGTGTGGTGGAGTACACCTGTAATCTCAGAGCTGGGGAGGCTGAAAACAGGAGGATCACCACTTGTAGTGAGGCTCTGTACCAAATATATAAATGAAAAAACAAACACACCAGTATCTTAGTAGTTATATTAGCTTTCTGCTCTCTGGAGCACAACGCTCAACACTAAACTTATGTGGAGAGGATTCATTCAGCTCATGTTTGGGGGAGCCAGCCCATGGCAGCTGGTTTCAAGACAGAAACATCCTGGCAGAAGAGAAAGGTAGCGCTCAGCTCATGACACCCCTGAAGCAGAGCAAGGGAACAGTGGTGCAGAGGACGAGCTGATGGCCAAGACCTAGATGAGCCTCCCATGTCACGCCTCCATGACCCACCCAGAACACCCAGAGTGTGTACCAATTCCCCCAGGGCGCTGATGCCTCCCCTACGAGCCACACCAGTGTTACATTGCTGCGCTATGATACTGTCTAGGCACTTTATTCACTTTGTCCTACTCACCCTATCCAACCAGGCTCTTTATTTCACAATACAAATGAGCCAGACAATACTTAAATGAAACTAGTTGCTTGAGGCCCAGTATGTCGCTCCTATGTCCTCATATTGAATAAACAAATCCTGTTTCTAGCTCTCCCGTCTGTGGTTCATTAGGACCCACAGATGATAGCCCTTAGGATTCTGTGGTGAAAGTGGTTAAAGATGCTGAGAGTTTGGAGGAAAACTAAGTTACACTAGAAAAAAAGAGAGAGAAAGCTACTACTAGGCTAATTTTCTGTTTATTCAATCCCTAGCGTCTCTAAAATGAAAAGCAGCCCGAGTTTCATAGAGAAACAACGGAAGCAGAGTGAGCCAAGGAAGAAACAAGAAACTGCTGTTGATTGGAAGGTAGGCCCAGAAGGTCCGCCTCCTCCTGTTGCCTGGCAACGAGTGTAAACAGCGCAAGACCATGGCCACTAACTACAGCGCCAACCAGGTAAGTTATTTCTCTTTAACACACTCCTTTAACATTTAATCTTGCCTTCTAGATTTTTTCTTTCGACTGACACCTCCCACCGGACTGTGATCACTGGAGAGACACTAACAGTGCTAATAGTATAATGTTCAAAGTCCCCTGAGACAAGCAAAAGGTATCTCTGGTTTAAATTTGTAGGTTGCAAACCAGAAGTCAGCAATTCTTTCCTGTAACAAGCCAGAGAATAAGCATTTTAGGCTTTGCAGGTCAACTAGCAAAGTCAAAGATATACTTAGATACTTACATGATAGAAATATTTTTGCATAAAACTTTGTCAAAATTCAAAATATGAGCCAGGCACAGTGGTGCACTCCTGTACTCCCAGCACTTGGGAGGCTGAGGCAGGAGGAGGATTGTTGTGAGTTTGAGACCAGCTTGGGCTACAAAGTAAGCTCAAGGCCAGCCTGAACTGCATATTGAGACCCTGCCTCAAAGAGAGAGAGAACCAAAATGCAAAATATAATTATTGAGCACATCTTTTTTTCTAATACTAATGAAAAAAGTAGAATTCTTTAGGGTGAGAAACCACTTTGATTAACTGGAATTCAAAGTTAGTGTATCCTTTCATCAATTTTTTTTTTTTTTTTCGGAACCAGGAATCTAACTGAGGCCCTTGCACTTGCCAGGGAAGTGTTTATTCTACTGAGCCCCCCAAAAATTTTAAGATAATGTTACTATGTAACAATCTAGGATGGTCCTGGACTTGCTATGTAGTCTAGGATAACTTAAAAAATCACAACCTTCAGTCTCTGTGGTGAGATTATAGACATGCGGCACCATGCCCAGCTGAATATATTTAACTCAATAAATGCAAAATGTTTCAACATTCAATCAGTACTATTTACATGATAATCTCACATTTAACATTTGCTTTTTTTTTTTTTTTTGTTCTAAGTCTTAAAAATCTACTGTATTTTATACCGACCAAGCTTCTCAGTTTGGGCTAGGCACATTTCAAGTGCTCAATAGCCACATGTGGCTACTGGCTGCCTGTGGGACAGCATACATCTGAACCAGCTTAGTGGAGGTTTTTGTTGTTGTTTTTGGTGAAGACCAAACCCAGGGCTTCCAGCTTGGTAGGCAAGCCTTTTATCCCTGAGCTAAATCCCCAGCCCACATTTGAACCAGATTACACCCCAGGTATTGTGAGTTGGCATCTACGTGTTTCAGACCATAGGTTTTCAAATCTAAGGATCACTTCCTGAACTGGAGCCTTTGGGACTCACAAGGCTTCTCATCTTTCTTTCCACAGTATGAAAAAGCTTTCTCACCCAAGTATCTGCAGAACTGGTCTCTTGCCAAGCCAACAAAAGAGGTATTCCAAGTTCATCACCTTTACATGGCCAGTTTATGGTTCTTTACACCATATTCTTTATAATTCCCTGCCACTTAACTCCTAGCTTTTTCTAGATGAGTCCATCTTCTTCTCCCCTTACCCTCAGTTCAAGGCCCTCAGATGTCTCTTCCCTCTTTGTTGTTGCTGCTTTCTCCTCTAACTCACAAGCACGTATCTCCCTACCTCCACCCCAGAGCATCTCTTCCTATGAAGGCTACACTCAGATTATCGCCAATGATCGTGGTCATCTGTTGCCTTCTGTGCCCCGTTCCAAGGTGAGATACCTGTCTCTACTCCTATCAACCCAGGTAAAGAACTGATGCACTAACCTAGAAAATCAAAGGCCAATCTAACTCACATGGAAAGGTAATATTCCAAGCTTCAACGGGTTTATCCAACAGGGTAGAGCTGTATTTAGCACACACAGGTCCTTAAACGAATGATCTGAATAAACAAACGCTTTCAGGTGACAATATTTCTGCGGGGCAGGGGGGGGGAAGGACCTCTTTTTTGCATTTATGATATTCTCTTTAACAGTTTACTATAAACCAGTTTCATAGGCCACAAGGAAATATTTATTTTTTGTATTTTTTAGGGAAGGGTCTACAGGTGTTCAGGGTCTCACTACTAGATCAGACTCGCAGTGATCAGCCTGTTTATAGCCTCTCAAGAGCTGGGATTACAAGCGCATGCCACCACTCCCAGTCAAAATTGCAATCTCAGCGCGCCCTGGGAGCAGGAGCAGGGCTGAGAGGGCAGGCCAGAACCCCCAGCCCCTGTGCCTGTTTGTAGGCACTTTAATCCGCTGAGCTATTTGACCCACCCTAGGCCACACGGAAATAAAAGGACTTTGTACAGCCTCACAGGAAACAGGCACGGAGTAGAGGAGGGTAAGTCTAGGGCCTTGGTAGGCACACTCCCTGGGAAGGGGGTCCTGTAAGGAAAACCAATCAGGTGAGACTCCAAGAACCAGCAGCATAACAAAGAAACAGGTCTGTGGCGATGTGGCCCTGGGGAATCTGCCCACACTTCTGTGGAACTACTTCCATAACTGTGGCCTTGCATACCTGGGGAGGGGCTGCAGCCCTGGAGGGACCATGCCCATAGGAGTCCCTCATCCAGGAGGAACTGTGGGCCTCTTATGACACAACTGGCCTTAAGATGTAGAAGTTGAATTGGTTGAGGAGATAAAAAATTGGGGCAACTGCAGAAGGTGGGGGAGATTATGCCTTCAAGTTGTTTCATTACCATGTTTTCCCAAAGGTTTAAGAATGGCAGTGAAGACCAAGAGAGGGACTGCCAACAGGACAGCTACCGCAGGGAGAAACTTCCCTGAAGAATCCCTTTTCCTTTCAGGCAAGTCCTTGGGGCTCCTTTATAGGCACCTGGCAAATGCCTCTGAAGATACCCCCTGCTCGGGTGACCCTGACTGCCCGGACAACTGCTGGTGCTGCCTCCCTCACCAAATGGATACACAAAAATCCTGATTTACTCAAGGCCTGTAATGGGCTGCGTCCTGAAATCTTAGGCAAGGTATCTATTCTCATCTAACCCTAAACCCTACTATCTCATTTCCTTTCAAAAAAAAAAAAAAGTCTAGCCTCCTGCCATCTTTCCCCCAGCAGAACCTCTGAACTAATCCATTTCCTCCTTCCTAATCCCTAACCACTTTCTAAGGTCATAAGGGATGAATGGAGAACCTTTTACTTTCCCCTCCTCCCATCACTGAAAATCTAATCCCAAAGGGAAGCTAGGAGAATCAAATTTAGCTATTTTTATTTGAAAACTGTCCTTTTGTGAAGGTGGAGTTAGGATTATGTGGACTGGGAAGCACCCGGACCTGGCTAAAAACATGTCTCCTCCACTCTGACAGCCCCATGATCCTGAGAGTCAGAAGAGGAAGTCTACCACAAAGACAGTACAACAAGCACCATGTCCAACCATAATTCCAAGCTCCCCGGTGACTAATCTCAACTCCCCAGATGAATCTCAAAGTTCGCACCCCTCTGCAGGTCACACTCCAGGTCCCCAAACCCCATGCAATTCTCCTGAAAGCATGCTGGGAAGCCCTGTGTGCCAGGAAGCAGATCCTAATCTAGCTGAGATCCCAAACTGCAAACCTGAAACTTCTGAAGGATCAAGGGGCCAGAATGAGAAAACCTGTCCAGAGTCTGAATTGAAGTAAACACAATTCCCTGACCAGAATGTGAAACGGAAAAATTATGGAGTAGGAGTAAAGGCAAATTTGGACAATAAATGTTGTTTGTTGAACCTGGCTAATCTGGATTTTTCTCCTCTCTCAACGCAACTGAAGAGGTGTGGGGAAAATAGAGACAGAAACACTATAGTGGTTGGGGTGTAACACATCTCAGCAAAGATTGCGTAGGTTATATTCCAGAAATGACCAAGAGGAAACTGATCACAGCAAAAAGGCAGGACCTTAAAGAATTAGTCCTTTCTATTACCCTTCCATTTTTCATCTTCATGTATGCACTGCACGAATTAAAACTACAGAGACATGTGTGTGCTTGGAGATAGTAGGTGAAAAAAGGATGCAGAGGCTTGGGGTGCAGCTCCATGGTGAAGCACCTGTCTAGAACTTACAAGGTTCTGAGTTTGAACCCTCGCCACACACAACACACACGCAGATACTATTCTTGCCTAAGACTTTATATTTAAGCAAAAGTACATATACTTTCAAAACAAAATATGGAAGTCAACAGAAGAAAATACAGTGATGGTAAGTAGAAATGTAAGGCAGAAAAATACTATGCTCTTGCTCCCTACTCACTTCCCCCTCCGGTTGTGGAATGGTAAAAAGCCATCAAAAAAAAAAAAAAAGGTCAAGATGTCCTCTATTTTCCAGCTCCCACAATATGTTTATCATTGACCCCATTCTGCATTTTCCTGGCACTTAAATTTAATGCCCCTGCCAAGCATTTTCTTAATTTGAATGCCAAACAGTTCCCTTGTGAACATTTGCTGCTCCCTCAAAGGACACAGCAGAGGAGAGGTGAAGACTACAAGACTTGTGAGGACCCACCCAGCAGAAAGGCCACTGTGTGGGATAGGCTGGTAGGCAGCAGGCCCCACCGTCTTAAACAAGGTCTTGCCCACCTCACATCAGCTAATGCCAGTCATCCCTCTCCATGCTGTAGTTAACTAATTGGCCAACAACTCTGAAGGATATAGAGATGGATTTCTTACTCCAGAGTTTGCAAAGATTATTGAGATAGAGTTCCTGCCATGGGATTTAGGGACCCAAAAGCCCGACCTCTGTGGATTATAAAAGCAGTAAGTTTTCTTCTCTTCACCTTGCCTTTTCTGAGGCTTCTCTATATTTTAATCTCTGAAAATTTTTTCCAGTGTGCCAGTTGTAGGACAAACTATTTCCCTCCTGGGAAAGGTCACAGGGTTGAGTTTTGTTACCACCTGAACCATTCTCTTCATTTCTCTAGATTTAAGGAGAGTCAAAGATAAAATGAGTATTTTAATTGTTTCAGAAAAGATGTACATGAACTTGGATTAGAAAACATGATATTAGAAGGGTTCCCCACCCCATAAATGCAAAAACAAAACAAAATGACCAGACAAAAACACCTTAAAATAGTTAATGAAATGTTTTCTGGATCTTCTTCTTCCATCAAAAGCCATGTCTCTTCTTCCTAGGGCACCTGCTTTGAGAACCGATCTTTTATCTCTCTCTAGCTGGGCCAGGACAATTTCCTTCCATCCCCACCTCCCTTCTTTCAGTCACACTGTGTGGGTGCTAAAGACCCTGGACTCTGACCAATGAACAGAACTGTCCTTTAAGCCAGCAACCCACAGGCAGTGGCACCCAAAGCATCACCCCCAGCCTCCATGGCAGAAGCCACAGAGCTGGCATTGTTTCCACTGTCTCAGGAAGAAGGAGCCAAAAGCTGACCCTCAGCACAAATCAAAGCCCAATGTGGACAGAGAATAGGCTTCTAGGCCCAGAGTAGGCAGCAAATTGTGGGCAGGAAAAGGGCGTTTTTACAGCCATTCCATCATGAGAAACAAGGGAAAAACTGGACCCTTTCTATTATTGTGGTTTTACAAGCCAATCTACTGAGCTAAGGGGGATCATCTGCAAACACAGAAGGATCCAAAGAGATCAGGTAACTCTGTTGGCTGGGGTAAGAATGAGGAACAGGAAGGTAAAGCAGTTTGTGACAACTAATTTGTAGGAAGATGATGCTGGGAGCGTCAGCTCTTCACATGGCTGCCAATGCTGCAGAGGACAACACAGTCAGAACCAAGATAGCCACCCCAGACTGGTAGAGCTGCGCAGTCCTCAGGCCTTTTCCCAGGTCCCACATCTAAAGAAAAGGGAAAAAAGAAATTCAGTATCAGACCCTGGTCATTCTCACAGCTCTTGGATCTTAGAATTTCTCCGCCTATTTGAATATGGTCCCCTGTATGCATGATTTTAGAGAAAAGTACTCATATCCTCGAGTCTCACCTTCACCCTTCTCAAAACCCACAATATGGCATCTACCACCCACCCTGCCAGTGATAGAAAATCTAGTCCTATTGTGTGGTGGTGGGGAAATACTCTCCAGAATACCAAACTCTAATACAAAAGCTTCCAGACTAAAAAGATGGAACTTCTTCCTCATGACAAGACATCTAGGTCAGTGTTTGCCCAAAGGGTACTTCCTTCCCCAAAGCCTGGTCCTGTATAATGCTGTAATGCCTCATGGGGGGCAAAGTTCTGTACTCACATAAACTTTGCAAGCATTTAACTGCCAGATTTCTCTAACAATTTACGGATGCACACTTATCTCCAAAAGGGGATGTAATATTCATGATACAGTCACCTTCAGAATTCCTTTTCAAAGGAATACATCTATAGAATATTCTCTCAATTTTGTTTTGACAATGACCCCACTAAGAAATCTCTTTTAAACTGTAACCCCACAGAGATGTATAGTATAGTAAAAATTCATGAAACAATTAACAATATTTACCAATACTAATATGTGCTGCATTCTGTATTTTCTCTTTGTTAGCAACTCACTAAATTGGTTTTCTACCCACAATGTCAAAGCCCACTAATCTAGACTCCCTTGTGCTCTGGGGATATTAGTATATTACAGTGGTACCTAGGTTTACAAATGCTTTTGAGAACAATATGATTTTCAAACAGAACTGTCTGGAAAAATTTTTTGTTAATGAACTCTGCATGTGACAACAACATAGCCGTGGCCACCTTGCCTACAAGTACACAAATGTGGCCAGATTTTCCAGAACCATGGATGAACCGAGGTACCACTGCATACTCTAGGTCACTAAAAGAGCCTCTTATTATAAGAGTAAAGCCTTCCAGTTCCACATTCTCCGCACGGCTGCCTCAACACATACATCACCTATGTAGTACTCTGCATATCAAACTTTAGAGAAAAGCTGTGATGGTGGAGAACAAGGTGAGAAGACATCCTCACCTTGATCCCTAGATCAGATCAGGAATCAAGCATATTCCAGAGCTGATTTGCTCATGAAGGCAGTGTTTTGTAATAAACCGACTCCTGCTGAGTAAAGGTGGTAGGAGGACCGTCTAGAATGCTCCCATGCTTACATCAGTACCATGCCCCAGCCCCCCTTCACGCTGCTGGCCAGGTAACTTCTGAGCTCAGAGGCCAAAACAGACTGTCCCAGGGAAACAGTTAAAGTCTGACACATACCCACAGTCAGTTCTAGTTAGAAGAAAAAAAGAAAGCAGATTTAAGGGCTTAAGAAAAAGGCTTCCATTTCCTCACATATCTTTAAAAAAAGATTATCAGGGGCTGGCCAAATAGCTCAGTGGATTAAAGCACCTGCAATCAGGAGCAGGGGCCAGGAGTTCAATCCCGGGTCAGTAGGCCCTGCCCCCGGGGCACACTGAGACAGAGATTGAGACTGGGTGTGGTGATGCATGCCTGTAATCCCAGCTCTTGGGAGGCTTTAAACAGGCGATTCACTACCAATCTAATCTAGTAGTGAGACCCTGAACACCCTGTAGACTCTTTCCCAAATACAAACAAACAAACAAGAGAGAGAGAGAGAGAGACAGACAGACAGACACAGACAGAGAGACAGAGAGACAGAAAGACAGAAAGAGAGAGATTACCAACATAAACAGGAACTGGGGCAACAAAGCACAGATTGAGGCCTGGGACTTTATTAAACTTCTCCCCCTTCCTCCTGCTATACTGAGACAAAAGCAAACATGGCAAATCTGTGCCTGAGCTAGGATATGAACAGGGAAGCTGATCAGCTGATTTTCTTTAGCAAGCTTTATTCTGTAGAATAAGAAGTCATTAATGGAAATGTTCTCCCTCTCCACTCTCTTCCCCTGAGGGAAGTAAGAAGTCCTTTTAAATCAAAACCAATACCACCTCAGGGAACAACTGATACATGCACTTAATTTAGTAGGCCATTTAGACACTCACTTCTTTTATTTCATTTGGCTGTCTATTGGACCAGACTGAAATCCAGAAAAGTGCCAGTCCCCAAGGTGGTGATACATAAGTTATAAAAATATCAAATTAAGGTAAAAACATGCACTTGACAGATGGCACAGGACCAGGAATAATGGAAAACTAGAAAGAATAAAATTTTAATTGTTTTTTTGGGGGTAGGATATAAGGCTAGGGATAGGGCGACCACAAATTATGAAATCCCTAAGTGCTGAAGGACAGACTAATCCTTGACCTGGCACAAGAGACACAGAGACATCAGTTCTGACCTAACATCAACGTCATGCAGGAGGTAACATGGACAGTTTTCAGTCCGCTAAAAGACTCCTTGATCCAAAATTAACACCTGGGATCACTGGAATCCACTTGCTGTGAAAGCTGGCCCTATTCTTGCTAATCAATCAAAAGGAACAGAAATGGTTAACAAAATCTAGTATCAAGGTAACAAAAGTTAAGATATTTGAATCCAGGAAGACTTGCTACTCTGAGTTGAGAAGCATTACATTAAAAGCAGCAGATGTGTGTATGGAGATAATGGCTGCCTCACTCCCGGCTATCTGGAAGAGTGCTGGCAGATAAAAGGTGCCAATTCATATCTGCCTAATAAATATGCCTTCTATACCAGATACTGACATAGTTCCAGTGATTGACTGATTGATTTTTTTTTGTACTGGGAGTCTAACTCAGTTAGACTTCCCAGGCAGGTGCTGTACCACTGGGCTATAAAACCTTGGCCCAGTGATTGCATTCAATAATATTCCTTTTAAGACTGCAAAACTTCTCAATGAGATT